GACTAAAACTTTAGCCTACAGGCAAGTTTTATGTCATTTGATTCTTCAACTCATTTGATAATGGTTTCATCATAAATAACATTTTTCAGTTGGATCTAATTGAGTAAAACTTTAGCCCACAGGCAAGTTTTATGTCACTAGATTCTTCTGGCTCTTTAGTAATTGTGAAAAATATTATCATAAGGGTTTCTTAATTGGATTTAATAGAATTAAAACTTTAGCCCAAAGGCAAGTTTTATGTCAATAAATCCCACCACCCATTAGATGATAATTTTATCACAATTTCTTAGAGTTATAAATCCAGTTCAATTATAATTCTAAGTTTCATGATTTGCATAGGCAAAACATGTATTCAGTCACTTCCCAAAATTTAGTCACTTCTATTAATTAATCCACGAATCTTGCTCGGTTCTTCGGACTAACTGTAGTAAGTTACGTGATTTGACATACCTCTTGGATTCCAATAATGATAAAATGTATCTTTTGAGCCAAATTCTATCTTGGTTTTGAAAGATGTATTTTGTTTATTTTAGTATGTCCAACTATGGTGGGGAAATATATCTTCATTATTTAGTTGGACTTTAATTGGAACCAAAAATTGATTATTTAGTATGTCCAACTAATGGTGGAGAATTATGTCTTCATTTGTTAGTTGGTCAATAAATCAATTATGAGTATGTATGTTATTAAGTTCACTTTATTAATTTCGCTGAAGAATATCTTAATCAGTGGGAGTGATCATTTAGGAAAAGATCATTAAGATACTTCACTAAAGTTTTTGGATTTAATTATTGTATTCATACATTCCAAATTGGGTTGTATGTTAAACAATAAGTCCAAAATATTCCACAAGTATTAATCTTGTATTTGTTTATATAAATTCATAAGTTCAAATTATTGAACATTTGGTTGTACAACATATTTATGAAAATGTTGCAACAATATTAAGGAATTTATTAGAACAAAAGCATTTAACTTGTGGTGCACTGTAATTTAATAAATTCTTCGGTGATTAATAGAGTCTTTAGTTTCTTCAAAATTGATCCTGGGCCATTTTGGTTTGTAAGGCTCAAAACAATTTTGTGAGACATATAAGTAAGACTCATTATGTTCAGTTCATTTAAAGTGAACATTGAAGTTATTTAGGAAGTTATGGTGTATGATTAAGATTCCAAATTTATGGATTTAGACCTTTGGTTTATTGTCTAAGTTATTGGAATGCTTCTGTGACTTGACTATCTTTTGGCTATTTTTGATGAGTGGGAGTGACAGACGTGTCAACTCCAAGCTCTTAGCCGTTAGAGATAGTACTTAAAGTTAACTTATAAAGAAGTCATGGAATATAGTTAGCATTATGCTAACGTTAAGAGATCTCTACTTAAGGCATGCTTATAAAGTTTTAGAGATCATACAGTGTACTCTTTTGTACAATTTGGATTTGTTTTCTCCTTCAGTTGTGCACATAATGTATTTTGAGAAACATCCCTTAAGGTACCGAGAATAAACATAGGGTTTGTTCATTAAGGACCTTTGGAGAATTAAAATGCATGTGACCATAATGGATACTACTCTGATTAAATAGAGGACATATCACTATGATTCGTGTGTTTTGTTCTTTGATGAAGGTTGTGTGGTACTTGCACCAAGTGGGAGAATGTAAGATTTTCCCTAATAATATATATTATATATTATATATTAGGGCCTTAATTAAGTGGTGCAAGTTGACTAGGCTTATTAAGTGGTCTGGTTGGACTTAATAACTAGTAGTTGTTAGTCAACCAAACTCTGTGCCTAATATAACCTGGATTGATGGGATACAGGATTATGGATTAGATAGCACATTCAGTCACGATACTCAGATCGCTCAGTAGACACCAATACACCATCTAGGGTTCTGAGTCAGGTCTGAGGCAAAACTTCGCTGACGGTCTACCGTTAAGAGGCAACACAACAGGAACATCAACTATGGCTGGAGATCTACATGGCTACGCTTCCGCTATCATACGAGGTCAGGTTTCTCGTATACTATGGTTTATTACAGTTAGACTATTGTATATCTAACACCCTACACTTGACAGATGTCATGCTTATTATTTTTATACTATTGTTATTGTTGTTGTCAATATAACAAATATTATTAGTTAGCTGATGCATACCACAAGAAAACAATAAAGCAAGAAGTGTTGAAGTGATACACTGATATGAAATACAAAAGAGATTGTAGTACAAATTTGATCCAAAACTAAATAAAAGAGACTTGTAATTTGTATTACTTATCAAAAAACAGACTACAGCAGAGTTCAAATTGATATTTGAACAGTATATGTACCTTGTCACTAAGCCACATGCACTTGAATCATTATGGGTTTAAAATTTTTTCTACCACAAAGCCACATGCACTTGAATCATTATTTTTAAAAGTGAGTGCAGAAGAAGTGAATTTAGATGAATGAAACATACTAAGTCCCCTAGTAATCTAGAATCAAAATGAAACCATTTTGCATTCACAACCTGACCAACCTACAATTAATTGAATTCAAGATCAGAGGTTTTTAGTGTTTCATTCACATGACCACCTAAACATCATGAAACTGAGAAATGAAAGACTCCAGTTGCTAGTAGTACTATTTACCAATGTTGCAAAAATCGCGCCTAGGCGCCGATTAATCGACGCCTAGGCGCCATTCCGCCGCCGCGAAGAAGGCCGAAATCGGCTTTCTCCGCGGCCGGCCGAACCCCCTTTTTTTTTTTTTTTTTTTTTTTTTTGGGTTAATCGCCAAAACGACGTCGTTTTGGCGATTAACCCAAAAAAATAAAAATAAAATTACGCGATTAAAATCGCAAATTGCGATTCAAAGCTTCAGACTAGAAAGGCAGAGAAACGGAGAAACCCTCACTCACTAAGACCTCCACACACCCTCAGTCGCACGGTCGCAGCACACCGCCTCCCGCCTCCGCCTCCCGCCGTACGCCGCCACACAGCCTCCCACTCCAGGTAAGCCCTATTTTAGTGTTTTAGACATTTAGGCTTTAGTTGAATAGTTTATTAATTTTTAATCTTTAATTCTTTATAATTTATAATTTTATATACTTATATATTTATATAATTAATTATATGTATGACTGTATGAGTATGACTGTATGAGTGTATGACTCTGTGTATGTAGTTTGTAGAAATGTAGAATTGCTAATTTGCTATTCAATTGCTATATTGCTAATTTTCTATTCAATTGCTAATTTGCTATTCAATTGCTATATGCCTATATGACTATATTGCCATTCAATTGTTAATTTGCTATTCAATTGCTATATGCCTATATTGCTATTCAATTGCTAATTTGCTATTCAATTGCTATATGCCTATATTGCTAATTTTCTATATAAGTTATAAAGTTATTAACTTATTAACTATTAAGTATTATACTATTATTAATTAGGAAATGGAATTGGAAAGTGATGATATTTCTCAACCACCAATTCAAACTCAAAGTGTTGGATCTTCTCAACCATCTACAACGTCAACTACAATAAAAAGAAAGTCCAATGATATAGGTTGGGACTATGGGGTACTTAATGATCCTACTAAGTCAATGGACAAGATTAGATGTTTATTGTGCAAGAAAGTAATGTCTGGTGGGGTTTATCGGATCAAAGAGCATATTGCTGGTATTTCAGGGAATGTTAGCAAATGCCCCATAGCATCAAAAGAAGATCAAATAAAATGTAGAGATGCTCTCATTATGGCGAAGAACAAAAAGAAGAACAAGAGAGCTGAAGAACTTAATATAAGAGCGGAGGTAAACATTGGTTCGCATGAGAGTTTGAGTAATACGCCTACAAATAGTACTGATGTTGATGAGTTGCAACAGTCTGAACAAATGAGGCCACCTCGTCCAATTGGCCTTATGGATAAGTTTGCTAACCAAATCAATCCTGAAATTTCTTTGAGTTCAAGAAGGGGCCCGGCGCAACAACGGATAATTGAGGCATTTGACAAGGAGAGGGTTAACCGAGTGAAAGAGTACATATGTAAATGGGCTTATGAAGCAGCTGTTCCATTTCATGTTATTGAGAAAGATAGCTTCAAGTTGATGATTGAAGCTGCTTGTCAATTCGGTCCGGGAGCGCAGACACCAAATAGATATGAATTGAGTGAAACATATTTGAAAAAAGAGGTTGATCGCGTCCGAGACAGTTTGAAGGAACATGAGGCGTTGTGGAAAGAAAATGGTTGCTCAATTATGACTGACGCATGGACAGATAGGAAGAGAAGAAGCGTCATGAACTTGTGTGTAAATTCAAGATTAGGCGCTGTTTTTTTATCTTCTAAAGAGTGTTCAAGTGAGGCACACACAAGTCAGTTTATATTTGAATATGTGGAGCATGGGATTGAACAAGTTGGAGTGGACAATGTTGTTCAAATTATCACAGATAATGCCGCAAACAACATGGGAGCTGCTAAATTGTTGAAGGAGAAGAGGCCACGGCTATTTTGGACATGTTGTGCAACTCATTCCATTAATTTAATGCTTGAAAGCATTGCAGGTACCTTTCAATCTTTAAATCTTTATTCTTTAATCTTTATTCTTTAACTTTAAATCTTGTAATTGTTCATACTTGAATCCTTTGCAGGTTTACCCCGGTTTAAAAAAGTTCTTGATCAAGCAAAGAGGTTAACTATCTTTATCTATGCACACCACAAAACATTAGCAATGATGAGAACCTATACAAAGAAACGTGACATAATTAAGCCAGGTGTGACTAGGTTTGCTTCTGCATTTCTAACTTTGCAGAGTTTACTTGCTAAGAAAATGGAATTAAGGGCTATGTTTACAAGCAATGAATGGGATGAATGTAAGTTTGCCAAAACAGTTAAAGGGAAAGCTTCCTATGCTACTGTCTTGAATACTTAATTTTGGCAAGGGGTTACATTATGCTTGAATGTTTTTGCACCGTTGGTGAATGTGCTTCGTATTGTTGATCAAGATAAGAAACCTTCAATGAGATTTGTTTATGGTGAGCTTATACAAGCCAAAGAGGACATTAAGAAGACATTCAATGAAGTGGTAAGAAACTATGAGCCTATTATTAAGATAGTCGAAGAAAAGATGAGCAATAGGCTAGATTCTCCTCTTCATTTGATGCCTTTCATGTTGAATCCTTATTATCATTTTAAGGATCCTCGACTTCATTTGGATGTTAATGTTTCTCTTGGATGTATTGAGTTTCTTGAAATATATTACCATGGCGATATAGAAATGCAAAACAAGGTATTGAATGATGAATTTCCCATTTACAAGAGGAAAGATGGTGTATTTGGGAAGACACTTGCGATCAAAGGATGTGAGACAAATAATGAGCGATATGATCCGGGTAAATGAGTTATATACTAGTTTTGAATTTTAATATTTAAAATTTTATATATTTTGATTTTTTATACTTAATATTTTTTTATACAATTTTGATGTAGCAATGTGGTGGTCAACTTATGGTGGGACAACTCCCAACTTGCAAACAATTGCGATAAAGATTATATCTCTTACTTCAAGTTCATCGGGTTGTGAAAAGAATTGGACTACATTTGAAGGGGTTAGTTAAATACTTAAATCTTTACTTAGTTATTTACTTCTTTTCTATTTTAGTATTTTTGCTTGCACTTTGCAAGTTTGCAGTTTGCACACTTGATGGAATGATATATTTGACATTTGTTTTGCATATTTGTAGATACATACAAAAAAAAAGAAATAGGTTGGAATCTAATCGCCTAAACAATCTAGTCTTTGTGCAATTCAATGCAAACTTGATGAACAAAAGGAAAAAAGAGCAAAATGTTGAAATATTACTTGGTAGTGATGCAACTTTCGCACAAGATTGGATTGTTGAGGATGAAGTTGAGGTTGTTGGTGAAGATGAAGTGGCTACTAATGAGGAAGGTGATGACGCATTAAGACCACGACGGAGTTCTAGATTGAGGGAGCTTGAAGAAGAGAACTTTGAATCCGAAAGTGAAGAAGAAGAAGAAGTGGTTGTTGAGTTTGAAGATGATAAAAATCAAGTGATAGATGGACAAGTGGAAGAACAACTCCGATCCGTAGCAGCTTATATCTAATAAGATGAGGCTACAAGCCAAAACATAACATTAGCAGAAATCGCTATAAAGAAGCAAGCGACAAATACTAGTGCAATTGAAAGACGATACATGTTGCATGGCATGTACCGCTCATAGCAATTATTATACTTGTATAGAAAATCCAGTACAGCAGCAGATGCACATGCAACACCAAGAGATAGAATAGTCATCACCTGCATTATATATATTATTATATAAATAAGCTTCAAAATTCATGAGTCAAACATGTAATTAATATGCGTGCGTGCATAAAAGAAATAAGGGAATTGAAGTATCTCGTCACCAATACAAATCATGACCAGAAGGAAAACAGAATGCACTCGCACTCTCCTTCTCAGCATTATGAAAATCCATGCAACAAAGCATTAAACTCTAGAAAAATAGAACCCCCATCACAAGTGTCAAGCACCTGAAACAGATCACAGTGATATAGAGAGTAACAAGAACTAAAGAGCGACTATATATATATATATATATATATATATATATATATATATATACATATATATATAATTAGGTTCTTGTGCGGTTAGGGTGCCCAGGTGTTGTTGTGCGGTTTAATCTAGGCTATTCATCTCGCTTAAATCAATGTCCAGTATTACCAAAATTATAAAAAAAATACAGTGGCAGTTTTGTAATTTTTGCATCTAGGGCAAAATTAAGGTGAGCGGATCTGTGATTAATGTGCATGTGTTTTGTATATAAGATGCGTGAGTTTTGTGCGTAAGGTGCGTGAGTTTTGTGCTTAATGTGCGTGGGGTTGTGCTTAACATGAGTAGTTGTTAAAACTTAAAGTGTGGACTTTTGTGCTTAAGGTGCGTGAGATTTGTTATTAATGTGAGTGGAGTTTGTGCTTAATGTGCGTAGGGTTTGTGCTTAATGTGTGTGAGGTTAGTGATTAATGTCAGTAGTTGTTGAAACTTAAAGTGTGTGATACTTAAAGTGCGTGGGGTTTGAGTTTAATGTGCGTGAGGTTGTGCTTAATGTGCGTGAGTTTTGTACTTTCTGTGCATGAGTTTGTGCTTAATGTCAATAGTTGTTGAAACTTAAAGTCTGTGAGTTAATATTTAATGTGGGTGGATTTTGTGCTTAATGTGCGTGATGTTGTGCTTAATGTGTGTGTGTTTTTGTACTTAATGTGCATGAGGTTGTGCTTAAGATCTAACACTTAAGGTGCGTGTTTCTATCACTTAAGGTGCGTCATTTTTAGCTTATGCTTCTTTCTTCCAGACACGCGTTTTTTTTTATTTTAATTTTCATTGATTTGAGCCGTTGATCTAAATTTGATCAACGGCTCAGATCCCTATATATATATATATATATATATATATATATATATATATATATATATAAGCCAAACAGAATTATATCACATACCTCAATTTTAACCAAACACAGGAATCTAACATTCCCAGTAATATAACATTCTTGGGCGTTTGGTTCAAGTTACATAAGATAACCAAGGTTATATTTGCTTGGTAATATAAGATTCCCATGTTTGGTTCTAGTTATGTAACTTTCCCAGGGAATCTCAGATAACCTCCGTATTAAGTTTTTATCTATTGGAAGGGAATGTGAGATACTCTCCAATTCTTAGGTAATCTCACATTCACTTGTCTTATTACTAATGTTGGACTTTGGACGTTTTAATCAATTTATCTTATTACCGTTGTCTTATTTACATATCTTAGTTTTAAACCAAACACAGGAATCTAACATTCCCAGCAATCTAACATTCTCTAAGGTAATCTAACATTCCCTAAGGTAATCTAACATTCCGTGAACCAAACGACCCACTGGTGTTGTAATTGAATTATGGTAATTTTATCATTGTAAAATGCGATGTACAATATTTTAAACTTAATATACAAACATATTAGTCCTAAAAAGTAAAAATATAAACAAAAGTCAAGGATATAACATGAATCCACACACACAAAAAAATAAAAATAAAAAATAAAAAGTTAGCACTCATTTAAGGACATTATAGCATGTAGTAACACAATTATATATATAATAATCACCAATGAACATCATAACAATAGAAATATTATTTAAAAAATAGAATAAGGGTCAAATAGGTCATCAAATTTGTTGAGTTTGTCTCATAGATGGATTAGGAATATGAGATTGTCTCATACTAGGAGTAGGAGTAAAACGGATAGACCCTTTGTACAGGGATTAGACTAAGGTATAAATATATTGGTTGTATCCCTAAGGGGTTGTGTCACCACTAGCACCATTACTATGAATAAGAGTATTGTTTCACTCCCGTGGATGTAGGCACTTTGCCGAACCACGTAAATCTTGTCTTCTTTACCTTTTCTGCTATTATTATTGCTTTATTGTTCGTGTTAATCTCAACAAATTGGTATCAGAGCCAGATGCAGGAGGTCAGCTAAACGAGACAGTTAGCATGAGTCGCGGCGGTATAACAGGTCGACGGCTGAGGGGCGAATGCCTTGGAACAAAGCAGTTCGTGTATATGCACTAGGTAACGTTTGATGCTGCGTATGCATGTGGCTGGCTAGTTGGGATGATCATGGTTGTTCCTACCAATGTGTATATGTGAGATAAGTCTTTTTCTCCTAAAGGGCATAATTGCGAATGTGGAGATGGTGAGATAAGTCTTTTCTCCTAAGGGACATATTTGCCAAGGTGGAGATTTGTTGAGTTATCTTTTTCTCCTAAAGGACATATTCGCCAAGGTGGATATAGTCTTTTCTCCTAAAGGGCATATATGTGAAGGTGGAGATGGTGAGATAAGTCCTTTCTCCTAAAGAGCATATTCATCAAGGTGGAGATTTGTTTAGTTATATTTTTCTCCTAAAGAGCATATTCGCCAAGGTGGAGATTGTTGAGTTTGTCTCATATATGGATTAGGAATATGAGTTTGTCTCATACTAGGAGTAGGAATATGAGTTTGTACAGGGATTAGATGCCTATAAATATATTGGTTGTATCCCCAAAGGGTTGTGTTACCACTATCACCATTACTATGAATAAGAGTATTGTTTCACTCTCGTGGATGTAGGCACTTTGCCGAACCACGTAAATCTTGTCTTCTTTACCTTTTCTGCTATTATTATTGCTTTATTGTTCATGTTAATCTCAATAGAATTACACATGAAATGCAATTAGGCCATTGAATTCAAAAAATATGCAATTGGGTTCTTGAACAATACAAAATGATGCAATTGAATCCAAAACACTGTTGCAAAAATCGCGCCTAGGCGCCGATTAATCAGCGCCTAGAGGGCTCCTAGCGATTTTTTCAACATTGATCCAAAGTGAAATGTTTTTCTTGTTAATTTGCTGACATAGAGGTTATAATATTAAAATAATAAATTTGTATTTTATTAAATAATTTTAAATAACAAAATTAAAAAAAAAACAAAAAAAGAAGAAGAAGAAAACCCCTTCGTCTCGGGCAGCCTGGAGACCTCTTGGTCTCCATGCTGGAGACGAAGCGCATGGAGACGATAGCGTTTTCTTCTTCTTCTTTTTTTTTTTTTAAAAAAAAAAATTTATTTTGTTATTTAAAATTATTTAATAAAACAAAAATTACTATTTTAATATTATAACCCCACGTCAGCAAATTCCAACTTGTGCACATCTTCATTTTTTATTTTTTTGGGGAAAAGGTACAAATAGGCCATTGAACTATTTGGGGGATAGCAATTAAGCCACTGAACTCGAATAAGATCCAAATTAATCCATGAACCTGCAAAAAAATTACAATTAGCATTTTTAGTAGGTTACCAACAAGTTGATGATTAGGATGCCATGTGTTTTTTTTTTTTTTTTTTTTTTAATGTTTATTATTATTATTATTATTATTATTATTATTATTATTATTATTATTATTATTATTATTATTATTATTATTATTATTATTATTATTATTATCCAACTAAGCATTTGACAACAAAAAAAAAAAAAAACTAAATTAGTGTAGTTTTTAATTTTAAAAATTAAAAACTTAGGTTTTAATTTATATATATATATATATATATTTTTTTTTTTTTTTTTTTAATTTTAATTATAGTAATTATTCGGGGACGGGACAGGGAGTGTATCCCCCTCCCCGTTTTCGTTCTCCAAAATTTTTTTTCATCTCTGTTTTCGTCGGGGACGAGACAAATTTCCATCCCTATTTAGCAACGATGCCATTCCATTAAATATAAATAAATAAATAAATAAAATAAAATATATATATATATATATATATATATATATAATTTAAATTAAAACTTATGTTTTTAAGTTTTTTTTTAAACTAAAAACTACACTACTTTAGTTTTATTTTTTATTATTATTATTATTATTATTATTATTATTTTTGGGGGGTCAAATGCTTAGTAGGATAATAATAATAATAATAATAATAATAATAATAATAATAATAATAATAATAATAATAATAATAATAATAATAATAAACTAATAAATAAAAAATACACATGGCATCCTAATCATCACAAACCTGTTGGTAACCTATTAAAACTTGTTGACAACCTACTAAAAATGCTAATTGCATATTTTTTGTAGGTCATGGATCAATTTGGAGCTTATTCGAGTTTGATGGCTTAATTGCTATCCCCCAAATAGTTCAATGGCCTATTTGTACCTTTTTTTTTTAAATCCTTTTATTATTATTATTATTATTATTATAAAAAGATTGCGTTTTGGTAGGGTCTTATTTGTTTTAAGAATGGGCCACACAAAACTAAAACTGGCCTTGAATTGGTTGATCATTCAGTTTGGTTGTAACTTGTAACCACATAAGGTTTCAAGTTTATATAATTCTCCGTGTGAATTGTCTATTGATATTCTTGGTATGAATTAATAATTGGTTTTGGTATGAGTAATATAATCTAGACTCAAGATGTTTTTAGTGCTTGAATAGAGCTTTATATGGTGTTCTTAAACTACTATAATACTTAGCTTGCTCTTTCCTTTTTTTTTTTTTTTTTTTT